CTTACTACCTCACTCACTCACTCACCCTCTCACTAACTCACTTACTCACCCCCTCACTCATACACATCCCCACTCACCCACTCATTCACTCACTCACCCTTTCTCTCACACTCTCTCTCAGTCACTCACTCATTCACTCAATCTTGTTAAATAAATAAAGCATTAAAAAAACCTTAAATATATTTCTAGTCACAGCCAATACAATAACAAGAGTACACTTTTAGATAATTATTTAAATAATAGAATAATTAATTACAATTAATTGTTATATTATTATTGTACACGGAAGCCAGTGCTCTGGGGTTTACAAGATACATAATCATCATCGAAAGACTTTAGAAGAAAGACATACATATTTACTGGAAAGACAAATTTTAAGAAAAGAAAAAAGATTGTTGATAAAAAAATTGGCTATGAAGTTCAACATTGAATGTTGCACATGGCATTTTGCTTTACTAATTTTTGATAAAGATGTTTAACTACTGAACTAATCAAAGCAACACATTTAGAGTTATCATGCGTCCATGCATGCCTACATTTAATTTGCACACGCCCTCAAATAAAAAGAAAGAAAACACAACTTCTTCAGCATAGATAGCTTCAATAGATTACATTTGTGCAGTGGAACAATCCATTTCAAAATAAAAAATGGCGGGAAAAAATATCCACCGATAAAAGAAAATTCATTTGCCGCGTCCCGCCGCGAATTGTGAATACTAACTATCTATCTGTTAAAAGACGACTGGATTTCACATATTGACTACAATGTAATGAAAGACGGTGTAGTGAGCTGGGTTCCCCAGTCTAGAATTTCTAATCATAAAATGCGGATAAAAAGTTCAAAATGTAAAGTTTACAATGTTATCAATTAGATTTTAAAATTTAAAGTGTTTGCCGTGAATACTATTTTTATGAAAAACTAGCATGAAATCAAAAATAAACCTATTTTGTTGGCTCACCAATTTTGTAAGGTCTTTCACACATAACAGAGGTATTCACGGTTACTGGAGAACATTTAAATAATCGAATGAAAGACGACTGGGTCGACGGTAGCAAGATGCGCTGCCATATATATTTTAGAACTTGATGCTTTTGGTGCCATTTTAAATCTTTGGAGTTTTGCGGATTTTTGACTTTTCTTTCTTCGTGAATTTTCTGCGGAGAGCATTGGCTTCATTTGTTTCAGTCATTTCTCTCATGTTCAATCTGTGAATACTCAGATAACGATTGAAGGTTAAAACTATTTAATCGAAAATATTGTCTGCTTCTGTTTGGATGGAAATAATATATTGGTAGCGTGAAAGACTAATGTAGAATAAAGAAAATATATCTAGCTGAAAGACTAAGGGTGTTCTGGAGTGGTATCTTGCTTAACCACTTTTAATTTTGATTTTTTTTCTTCATTTTCTTTAAAAAATATAGATTTTCTCTGTAGGTTGTCAAGATCCTTCTGTTCTTGTGTTGCCAATCTTCTTTTTATATTATTTAACACGTTTAGATAATCCATTTTGATTTTCTTTCTTTGATTTTCCTCTCATAGTTTGAAGTGTGTTCGAGATTGAATTACATGGAACAGTTTTCTTGGTATTTCCCGTATTTTGAAAGACATCGGTAGGAAAGACGATAGGTAGGGAACGAGTGTGTTGGAGATGTTTAAACAGAAATCTGAAAATAAAAATAAAATAAATAAAGTTGTAGAAATGTATTATTATTATTTATCATTTTATTACTAATTTATATTTTTCATTTTTTATTATCATATAGATATATGGTTTAATTAATTTGGATAAAATTTTAACAGCGGATAGAAATAAAACAAACAAGAAATTTATTCTAAACAATCCATCAAAAATTGATTGTCAACCAATCTATCTATCTATCTAATTATCTACGATTAATGCATTACTAAGAAAGACGGATAGGCTTTCTACACAGTAATTTTAGGAAAAAAGTTGATTGAACAAAAACTGTTCAGATTTTAAATGAAGAAGGAAATACTATGAAATCAATTTTCGATTTATATAAACCTTATGAAACTAACAGATAGGATAATAAAGACTGACAATGAAACAAGCTTAATTTATTTTCGTAAATTGCTGGATTAAAAACTTTTTTACATTATGTGAGTGTCAGTTTAATTGCGATGAGAAATGATGATTTGGTGGATTTACCAGAGACCGGAAATGAAACGCAAAAACCTCAGTTTCATTCCCCGACAAAATGCGCAAGAATGACAGGAATAAAATGTTGATAAAATTCGTGTTTTCAGAAAAATGTGGGAGAACGGTTTAATAGCTAGGCCACGAGCAGCTTAGTGTGTACTTTATAAATAGATACAGATTTAGTGAAAAGACATAAATAATACATTTTAAAAGTATTTAAAGTCAAATTTTAAGGTTATAAAAAATATGCGAAATAAGTGTTATTTGCTGCTCGTTGTTGTTCAAATAAAATCAACCCATTAAATTTAGTTTAAAAAAAAAAAAATTTACATATCTGATAAATCACGCAACCTCTGAAAGGGACTATTTTTTATGCAAGGGTGGCAATGTCCGATTTACAACAGTACCCTTTAAACCTTAATTTGATAAAAAAACAAATGTGGAAGCGTCGCTAAGCCAAGCTTTTGAAGGTGTCGCGTAACATTTCCATCTTTGCATAGTCATGAGGTCATTTGAGCTCAAGTCCATATAATTAAAAAAATCTAAATACATACTTTGCTTGTCTTTCTGTTTGTATGTATGTATCCAATAAACTTCAAAACGGCTGAACCGATCGGACCCAAATTTCGTGTCCGACTTTACATGACCCCAGGGAAGGTTTATGGATGATCAAAGTTTCAAAAATGGCCTCAAACAAAATTAGATTTTCATAAATTTTTGAAAATCCCCAAATTTTTTTTTTAATGAAATCCGCGAACTTTTTTGTTTTTATTTTACAATGTATACAAAGAGAAAATGTTCATAATTGTCAATTGAAATGCAACAAAGTCTAGTTATTTAGAAATCACAAAACCTCGTAATACAAAATATAATTTCAAATCACGGAACCTCGATACATTGAAATTCACCCAACCTCACCAAGAAAAAAGCAATTAAGTTTGAAAATAAACATAAACATCCCCTAAGCCAATCAAACCTTAAAAGAACTGTTGTAATATCACGTGACCTTCCATTAGAATAAAGAGGTCTGTCTGATTCACAACGGCTAGGTGACTTCTAACCGTTTTTTTTAATAATATGCAAGAAGATTTCATTGTCGTTCTAGCTTGAAAAAAAGTGTTAAATTTTACATTGCGTTTAACTCGCATGTCTCATTTATTGATAACCCGTAGCTAGTGAAATATATAAATATCTCATTGACAAAACCTTACGACCCTACGAATCAGATATTTCTCATTTTAAGGATATTAAATCTAAAATTCTCCTTCAGCTATTTTAACATTTTGGAGGACAGTTTAGGTTTATTAAAAATTCACTAGTTTTAAATCAGTGGTTGGAAATAATAGCGTGGCCGAAAGTGCCCAAGGGAAATAGTTAAACTATTTAAAACTAGTTAAACTACTTGTCACTGTTAAAAAATACGACATTAGAACAATTTGGGTTCGAAACATGGTGAAAATGAAAAGAATTAGGAACCCATAGATATAAAGGGTATAAATTCAAGATAGATAAATATTTAAAATCGACAAATATTCTGAATCTATGAGAGAAAGTTTCTTTGTTCTCCAATGTATAAGGTAAAGAGAAACTGTGGTGAAGACTTGGGACAAATTTGGGCTTTTTGCGCTGATCAATATTATTTAATGATTGTAGTGGTTTTACCAGGAGGAACAAAATCAAATATAATACGCAATATTTTCATTTGAAGAGTGGAATGTTTAATTCACAATGGTATCCTTTACTCCTTTGTCAGGTCAGGTATGAGTGAGATATCATTTTTTTTTTTACTTGAAAATTAAGCGATTTGCAGATCTTCGTACATTGACAATGAAAGAAATTGTCAAAATTAAGCAGCACAGAAAAACGACGATATCATTCAAATTGTTGTTTAGAGAGAGATCTAAAGTGAAAGATTGTGAATCGGACATGGATGGTCATTTATCAATACATATACACAGTCCATTTTGTCCATGTGACAACATCAAATATTACAAATCATAAACAAATGTTTTAAACATTTAAAACATGTCCACTAGAGCATTCAAAATGTAAATATCAGACAAAAACGAGCAATGACACTTCAGATTTTAAATTGTCATATTGTTTATATTTGTTTGGTTTGCCATGTCAAGCTTGTATGGTTTATATACACTCCAATGAGAGTCGAACCAAGGAGAGGAGAAAAATGTTTGTTTACATTGTGACGTATTAGGATAGCTCTGGAACCGGTTTAAGTGGAAATACAAATAAAGAATTGAGTCTTTGCCTCAAACTCAAAGGTTCTAATTTCAATATCTGATGGTTGAAACCTTTGATATTTTAAACTTAAATCAGAATTCATAGTTTTAAGTATCAAGATCTACGACATTGGGTTGCAAAGATATTGGGATTAAAAAATCACAGAATGTGGCAAAAACTCAATTTCTTTGTCAAACAATGCAATGTTCGGTTTATTTAGCAGAACAAAATGTAAATGTTGTTTGTTTACAACAACAACAACAACAAAAATATTTCCAAACCTGTTCTAATACGTCACAGTACAAAATATACAAACCTTTTCCTCTTTTTACTCATACTATTATTGAAGTATAAAAATCGTACAATTTTGAATCAAATTAAATTATTTGAGAACACAAATATGCAAAAATATCTAATAAAATGTGTGACATTTTGATTAAAGGTCGCTTTTTTGATTGATAAAAAATAGATAGAAACGCAAAAAAAAGTTCAAGTTTATGTTAATGCATTTAGAAATATTATTTTATCAAATATAGAACATGCATAAACTCAAAAAAGCAAAATTGTAAAACCAAAACAATGACATGTGGAATTTTGTCTCTCGCAATATTCCCTTTTGAAAAAAATAATAAGTGAAAAGTGAAAATCTCAAATGTTTTATAAATTCAATTTCAGTTTTCAACATTTGTCTGTTAAATGTAGAAGAAACATGCAGGCGCGGCGAAAATTTGTTACATCTGCACAGTAAAAGTTTAAACAAAAATAAACCTAAAATTAGGCAAAAAGACTGCTATAAAAAAACCTCCAGTGCTAAAGATAAAAAATATATGAAGGACTGTAAAAAGTATGATGGCCCGAATCCAATGTTAAAAAAAGAGTTTCATATAATGTTATGCAGATTGTACAATGTATTAAACCTAACTTAGAATTTTGAAAACAATTGATCGAAATTACAAAGAGAAAGTTAGGGGTAACAATATTTGTGAGATATCAATAACATTTTGTTCTTTATACAGTACACACCACAATCAAAGAAATGAGGAAAAAATGTTTTTTTTCTTGGAATTTGGAAATTGTGCCAAAAAATCTTCCAGCAGCAAAAATTTGCCGCGAAATCTTAAAACTTTTAATTTTCATTATACCAACTTTTATCCATGAATGTAACAAATTTTCACTTATTTTATGCATAATAATTGCTAAACTTTTACCTGTCAAATTTCTTGTGTTCTACGCGGTAGATGACAGTTGAGAGTCTACGCAGCTCCCAGCCCCCGTCCCGTTGTCCTGTTAACGGTGCGGGGGCTGTCAACACACTAACAATTTCCCTTCGGGTAACTCGTATTTATAGGCTACAACTGCCGCCGGCGGCGTTCGTAGTTCAGCCTCCCCCCGCTAGATGGCATAGGCTGTCTCTAGTTTGTAATCGAATCCACGAAATCCGGATTGAATTATTAATGAGACGTGCGGTGAATTTTACTTTTCGATTGTTTCAAATAAATATTTAAACCAGAGGGGAATGAATAATGGCATGATACACAATATTAGAGACAATTCCGAGTAATTTTTGGATAAACAAATATGATTTTATTTTCAAATAGAAACACACATTTGTTAACTGTGGATTTTGAAGGCACTGCAAACGGGTTTTTAAAGTAAACCTTGCAAAGATGATGCCTACTCACAACAGTACCCCAAATAACTTTGTCTTATCAAGTTTAAATTATATGTTTTCTATTGTGGTTTCTCTCCAATAATGAGTTGCGCATTTCTATAATGCAGGAAAACATAAAATAATTATCAGAATTTAAAACACTTTTAAACCTAAAAAAACGACAATATCTTCCACATTATTTCACAGAAAATGGTTTCAAGGGTACTGTCGTGAATCGGGCAATACCGTCTTTGCATGGGGCCGGAGGGTCACTTAATATGTTACTTTTAGTCACCAGTGTTGTTGTTAATCTATATTTGAAATTGTATGGATAGCATTTAATACTTTGGATTTATCATGTACACTATTAATGTTGTTATTTTACACATATATGTTCACAAAAAGGATTTAAATCAAAAATTGGAATTGAGTTTTTGCCACAAACTCTGATTTTATAATATCTTTTCTAATATCTTTTGCAACGTCATGGTGTAAACCTTTGATATTTCAAACTTGAATGATTTGATATAACAGAATTCATAGTTTGAAATATCTAAGGTGTACGACATTGGGTTTCAGAGATGGAGGATTTAGAAAATCAGAAATTTTGGAAAAGACTGAATTCCTTTGTAAATTTTACCTCATCAGGTTAAGCTGAATATGGGGGAAGAGGGGAGGGATGGACCCTCCCCCCAGTTTATTCGTTTGTCGCTCTCCTTTTCAACGCTTTTGCTCTAAAACTTCTGACATGACAACATATATATTTTTTAAATACCGAGCACAGGAGCACTTATCGGAAAAAGAAAAAAACGTAATGCATTTTTTTGATGGTTTTAAATTTTGAAATTTTCTAAATTTTTCTGACCATCTTACCGTCTAAAAATGGTTTTATGAACCTACGTTATACCTCATATATTCATGTTTGAATTTTAGGCATTATTGTGAGATAGGGGGGGGGGGTAGGATCCTGGATCCTCCCCCTCCCCTCAAACAATGCATGGACCCTCAAGCCTTTTAAAAGTTAATTGGTTTGTTATCTATAGGCTTTGTAATTATTCATATTAACTATTGAGTGAGTAAAGAAATCAAATATTTATAGAAACTTAATTTCAACTAAAATAAATTATTCAAATTGAACAAATATTTCACTTTTAAAGAAAATTATATATTAGTTGCTCTTTTCATTCTTCTTGTTCTAATGTTTTCCTTTTTTATTCGTTTTTTTAATTTTTCTTGTTATTTCTCTCATAAAAATTATTAATCTGGCAACATATCTTGGTTTTAGATTTTTTGTTTTATATTTTTTCACATTCTTCTATTCTTTGAATTTTCTTTTTCCTTTTTTTGTTCTTTTCTTATAATTTTATTTATATTTCGTGAATAAACATTAATTTTCTTTTCTCTAATATCGGTTTAATATATTTGAAGAATAACATATTGAAATAGCAGCACTAAGTGATGGATGAAAGTATATGATGGTATACAAATACTGGTTCGGAATATATATATTTAATGGATTAATGGATTTGAAAAATTAGGAATAAACTTGAGTAAAGATGGATGGATTTTACTAAATGTATGTAGTGACATAATACCCTTGGAGAGTCAAGTCTCAAGAGCCGGTTGGAAGGGGATTTTAGGCACTTTGAGAGGGTTTTCATAAGCTGGAAGGGGGATTCAGGGGCTAAGAGGGGGATTTCAGGGACTGAAAAGTGTGTTTCAGAGGTGTTATGTATTTACCCAAAAGACATCTTCCCAAAGGGCGAATTCCCTAGTGACAATGTCTTTAGTATCTTCCTGGATGTGCAATTTCTCAAGCGGCAACTTCCAAAGTTTAGGCCGGTTAGGCCTTTTGACGCACCTCAGGATGCAATGCGGGGGGGGGCTGCGGCTAGGACAGTCTTATGAAATTGCCGCTTAGAAATTGCACATTTGGGCAGTTACCACTCGGGAAAATACCCTTGGGACGTTGACGCTGGGAAAAGCCTTCGAGAAATGGATTTCAGAGCCTAGGAGGGAGGGTTGTTCAGGGACTGTTAAGGTTTTTAATGCATGAGGTGGGAGGTGGTCCCAAGGGTTGCATGGAAGGAGTTTTCAGGTACTGGGATGGGTAAATCAGGGGGTTGGAGGGAATTCTGACACTGGGATGGCTCTCAGGACATCGGTGTTAGGGATCCTGTGGTCGAAAATGTTTAAAGTTCTTTTAGATTTAAAATAAACGTTCTTTTTCTTTCTCAAATCCATAAAGTAACCCGTAATTAACACAATTATCCACGTATTTGTTTAGTGCACAGCAATGGATTCAATTATTTGTACAATTGGACCCGTCCGCTCTGACTCTTCACTTTGTTTTCGCAGAAAAGGGGTTCGACCCAAAGCCTAGAGTAGTGTTTAACACTTCAACTAGAGAAATAGCCTAATAAGTCAAGATTGGAAAAAACTGAAAAGTTTTGTGCTTATTTTTTTCCTCTTTTCTTTTGTTTGGAAAGTTTGTCAAAAAAGTTTTCTTTTTTAACATATTTTATATATTATATTTTTAACTTTTTTGTAGCTCTTCCCCTGTTGTACTAATTAAAAAGATTACTCTAATGGACACCTATCGCCTAAAATACTGGGTCTCAACCGACACAAACTTGCAATTGCTTCTGGTAAATTAGTTTTTTTTTGCATGCGGTGCTTAGTGTTATTTATACCTATTAAAAAATAATAGGTTAGGGTTTATGATCGATATTCAGTGTAATTATTGTAAGTAGAGACACCCACAGTCGGTCTTTTTGAAAATATTGGTCCTCCAGCAAGTTTAAATAATTTATTTCAAAAATAAAAAAACAGTAAACTTTTCATTAGGAACAGGCCATAATGAATTTCTAAAGTACATTGATATGATTTTAGATCAAAATTGAATGGAATGTTCGCGTGATTTCAAGTGACCCTCCATGCAAAGATGTCAATGCCGATTTACAATGATACCCTTAAAAGCTTGTCTTAGGATATCGAATTTTTCAGATATCCTTAGCCTTCTGTTTATAATTTCGAACCAATTGTTCGTAATTTCTAACAAAATGTTCGTAATTTATTACGAAATGTTCGGAAATTTGAACTGAATATTCGTATTTTGAACAAAATGTTCGTTATTACAGACAAAATGTTCGTACTTTCTAACAAAATGTCCGTAATTTCAAAACAAATGTTCGTAATTTCAAACAAATTGTTCATAATTTCTAACAAAATGTTCATAATTTCAAACCAAATGTTCATAATTCCTAACAAAATGTTCAGAATTTCAAACAAAATGTTTATAATTTCTAACAAAATGATCGTAATTACAAACAAACTGTTCATAATTTCTAACAAAATGTTCGTAATTTCAAACAAAATGTTCATAATTTCTAACAAAATGTTCGTAATTTCTAACAAAATGTTCGTAATTTCAAACATAATGTTCGGAATTTCAAACAAAATGCTTATAATTTCCAACAAATGTTCCTATTTTCCAACAAATGTTTATAATTTCGAACTAAATGTTTTTAATTTCGAACAAAATCTTCGTAATTTCAAAGAAAATGTTCGTAGTTTTTAAGAAAATGTTCCTAATTTCCAACAAATGTTCGAAACGTTTGACAAAATGTTTGTAATTTCAAACAAAATTTTAACATTGTGGCTAGGCCTAGACATGTTATTAGTTGGGTAATATAAGCTGGGCGTCGGAGAATACACAAACTTCGGTTAAAATGAATAATTTGTCTAAGTCGGGTTAACATGGATGTATGCAAACCAATTATAGTTTCACTGTCTTAAATGCAGAAGAAATTTATGCATGTTCGCCAATGATCAAAAATGTAGATGGTAGAGATGTCAACGATAGTGTAACGTAACGTAAAATGTACGTTTTTGTACGTTACGTTACAATAATTTGTAACGTTTGGATATATTCTATATAACGTGAACGTTAAACGTTAACGTTATAGGAGCTCATACCTAACGTTAACGTTAAACGTTAACGTTAGAGGAATATACCCCCAACGTTAGCGTTTTGTGGAAATGTAACGTTATTTTTCTAGTATCTACAACTTTTTTGACCATAAAGTAAAGAAATGTTTTGTTTCCAAAGGGAGCTTGAACGTCTAACGTTTGAAAAATGAATTTTGATTTGATTGAATATCGTAACGAAAGGATTTCTATTTCAAAGTTCAACTTATAAAAAGTGTAACGTTGTATAACTGAAAAATGCATTACTGTTTATGAAAACGTTTTGAAACGTTTTCCCTTATAGTATAATTAAAAATTCAACGTTGCAGAAATGGGTTATTATTTTAATAATCAGGAAACGAAAGTTTTTTTACAGAGTAAAATTCCAATAATGTAACGTATAAAAAAATGTTATTCTGTAAATCAAAACGTTTCATAACTTTTCTCTGAATACTAAATTGATAAGTCTAACGTTAGATANCATGCTGAATTCAGATTCGAAAATCATTTTTAAATATATTAAAATCTAAAGAAGTTATGGCCAAATAACGGTAGTAAATTCCAATTTTTAACTTTTTAATGTTTTTAATGAGTTTTTTAGCTCTGACTCTCTCAATTTTCAATTTTTTTGAATGCTTTTCGGATTTGAATTTAGCATTGAATTTCCAAGAAAATGATGTATAA